TGCATAATCACATTGAAAATATTTCAATATCTGATTACTTCTGCATGATTGGGTTTCCTAATTGAATTTGCTCCTAATTTCACTCTGCCATCAGTGTATTAAAACGGATCATAGCGAAACAAACTCCTATCAGTTCTATGCGGAAAGTACGCAAATACACGATTCTAATTACCTCTCTGACCAGGAATGCCTGACTTTCAGTTCATCGCATTTTCAGTAACGAATACGATTCATTCATAACAAATACAGCTTTAAGTGTCGGTTAATTTGAGGGACTCAGGGGATATCAATGATCCAGTTAGCTATTGCCAAATTTTTGCTGGTTTTCTCACGATATCCCAACTGCACTGAGTTCATTTGTGTCTTGGCATGAGATCTTCGATTTATTTTCATGTGATCTCAAAAGCTTCGAACTGATAATTCGCTGGCAGGCAATCGTGTACGATATCAATCCGTTGATGATTTCAGATTAACAAGAAACAATGCGACTGACCTGGCCGAGCTCCATCTCTTTGCGGTATGCTAACTCGTATTTTAGCGCCAGCATCAGGAGGTACGCTTCGATCGTGAGTGGTGGAGACTGTTGTCGACGAGCCTTCAACGTAGTTCTCGATGGCACACCACGAAGTGGGTGTTGTGGGACGAGGGCGTTGAATGACGCTCACCGAGTATCCACGTCGTAACGCTTCGTGATCAGAATCTATCGTTTTTGCCTGAACCATGNGCATTGATGTGCTTGCAAATAATCAGAATCTGCGATCAGAAGAAGGACTCATGACTGTATTTCAACGTGCATTGTGTTTGAATGCAAAATTTTCGGTTGGAAGCTTTATGAGATCAATGAGATCAAGCATGAATCATGTTGAGCATGAATGATCACGAATGATCAAGCATGATCAAGCAAACATGATCAAGCATGAATCATGAATCAAGCATGAATTTATGAGATCAAGCATGAAAAATTTATCTCGTTACCTTTCTCGGAGCACCACTATTTCGCGCAGCAGCAGTGATGACTTGTTCGACGTTCCTTAGTTGTTCGCGAACCTCAAGATCACTCTCCGAGCTTTCCTCCTCCTTCGCCAGAAGACTCTCGTGCATTTCCTGCTCAGCATCAGCATGACCTGGTCCAGGTACCATCATTGGGTATTTCTGAGTTGCACCCAGCGTTTTGTCGTAATCCGTCGTGGTAGCATCGTCCTCAGGTGCTTTCCTCAACTAAAATATGCACGTCATAGAACGGCTAACAACTTCAATGAAGAAACGCAAAGGACATGATCCACTCAGTAAATAAAGTGGAAAAATTGAATATTGATACATCGTCAATATGCATTTATCGTAGTTCATTTGAAATTACGGTAACATACGTATAAATTGCGTGTATGTATACGTTACGTATACATATGAAGTTGACGTATAAAGACCACGTATAAATTATGTATTAAGATTACGTATAAATTACATATAAAGATTACGTATACGTATAAAGATACGTATAAAGTTTACGTATACGTATAAAGATTACGTATCGAGAACATTCATGCTACGAGACAATGCTCAAACTAAATTGACGCACCACTTCTACAATTGTATCGCCAGTGTCACTTTCAGTCATCGACGGTGTCGGGTATTGATAATCGATGTCCAGACTTTGCGGCAGTTCAGGTGCGGGTGGCAAGTCCGAATCGACAGATTCCGTGAACGATCGCATCGCTGAATGCTGCCGTAGAATTTCGGTCGCATCGATCGCATCTTCAAGTTTCCATCGATCAACTTATGCATGTTCGCTTGTGAAAACAGTCCGCATTCACTCGAATGCTCAATTCCACAGATAATGAAAAAAAATTTCGCGAATGTGGAATAAAATGTCGGAAGAACTTCCACACACTACCATCTCGGTTAATAAATTTACTTATCAAAACAATTCTAAATTCCTGAAGTTGCACGCAAGGTGTGAATGCAAATGAATCGATTCGTTTACCAGCTGCATCCCAAGCCTCGCTGAAGGCGCTTGCCATACGAAACGCGTTTCGACCACCGTTCAAATTGTACTCAGCAGTCGACTGTCTTCTGGGTGGTTGTTGATACTGCAGATCACGTTCACGCCACGACATTCAGTCAAATATACACATGAACTCAATCGCTCATTTATCTCACAGACAGTCGTCGCTGAATAGTAGACATATCATATCGTATGTTCGGTGAGCATCTAGAAGTGCAACAATTTCCACGAATCTGTAAACATCGCAATTGCAGTCTGTCGAGCGCAATTTAACAATGATTTTACGCATCGTTGCGAATGAGTTAAACGTTGAGAATATGAATGATTTAGTTGGGAGCGATGCTTTTCAGTTAATAGTTCACAGCGAAGCCGTATTCATATTATAGATAGATTTCGAAATGAGAGTTCAAAGGAGAAATTGGCGAGAATTTACAAAATGCATATTAAGTTCGCGAGTGTTCTAGTGGAATAACCAGCAAGAGCTTGATTGATATCCCAGACCGTATAAAGATATTTCCAGATGCTAAGTAGCTTGTAATTTCGAGATGCCTAATGGCATGCAAAAAGCAAATTCTAATTCTTTTCTAAACAACTCTACGCATTCGACAATCGTCAGTGTGGAATTTGTCACAGGATTGATTGCTTGACTTCTGCTTCCGTAACATACTTGAATAATGCACGTCCTCCATTTCATGAAGTTTCTCGCACGTTTCATGAATCTTTTAACTCCGAATTGTTTCACAATAGGAAAATACCAGTCAATATAAGTCGATAAGTCAATCAAAATACAACTGATCAGATCATTAGAATGATCTCATTCGATCACATTCATTAAGAATGCTGATGCTTTCCATACTGATGAATTACGGTCATCAACTCGTCAAAGTTGATTTAGGGAACTCATGAACCTCAGTTCATAAGAGTATCAATAATGTGAATTCACTTACGATACATTGACATCAAAAACATCAGAATATGAACAAATGCTAGATATTTGTTAGCAGAATTGATTAAAAGTCAATGCTGAAACGAAATTAAAAACGGCAAAACACATTCATTGAAACGATAGACGCGAAATGATTAGCCATGAATTTGCTACGGTGTAATGAAATTGCCGCTTTACTGCACCTCAACAATTCAATTAATTCTTTGAATTTGACGGACGAACGAATAGAATAAACAAATTCGTTTCATGATAGTAATTTATGAAATTGATTCATGTGAAAATTTTTCGAATAGAATCGAAAACATCAAAGAGATGGCAGTCAGTAAAATAAATCAACTGAATGTCTTTCATTATCTGCTTCAGTCGAATGCGATTTGTTCGCGAATGGCTGCTTTGAGGAAGATGAATAGATGAATGAGAAGGAGAACGAAATGAATCGATGAACAAAACTGAAACCGACTAGAAGAGATGTCAAAATCAGTTGCTGTGTATGATAGTAAAGGCTACTGAATTTGAATTTGAGTTCTGATGATCAGCAGATGAGTACGGCACAAAGATTAGCGTTCACTCATATGAGGTTCAGATGAACGGACCCTGCATCATTTTCAGATGTTTCGAGCTGAATCTGCAATGACGCCTACTTGGTAAATTTGGTGCGTGACTCTAATCAATATTTTAAGCAAGCATCAATTCAAAAATTTCAAATATCAGTAATAAACAGAACGAGATCTGTAACTGTTCAAGCAAGATCTCCAGTTACTGTAAGGAGTCATAAAAAATAGAGTGCTTGAAGTCTTGAATACTTTTGTGTGGGTTCATTGGTATGTCGCTTTAATGAAAAGCCAACAGCTTTCTCTACACATGTTTTCGGAGCGAAAAAAATGATGAAAATGCGATCTTGGTCTTAAGCAAATATTCCGTTACACTCGCAATCGAATTGATCACACAGCCACAATTCCATCGAAGGCTGTAATCTGTTCGCATTTGCGTGATATCACAACAAATGTGAAGCGAATCGCTTGAATTCAAATGATACTTGAATAACGATGTGGCTTTTATTTCAATGCATTCAACACGAGGACATGACGTGATACCGAAACAGTTTGTAGGTGGATTACGTCAAAGAATTTTTAACAATTCACAGAAAAAATAAGAACGTCATTTTATAAACGCCATTTATTTTTTTTTTCAAAAAATTCACCGGATGCAGAGAGCTAATTAATCTCTCAGAAAACATATGACTCGAGCAATTCATAAGATATTCGACCTAATCAATTATTGCTCTCAAATGCATATTCTAGAACATTTTCATAAAGCTGCGTATGAAAGGACGTTTCCTCTGTAATGTCAGAGATTCTTTACCAATGAGCAGAGTTTTCGTCTAAACGTGAGTTGTTCAGGTTCAGCTAGCAAAACATTCACAAATGTTCATCTGTCTATCTATCATACACCAAATCCTTCATTCTTTTACTGTTTTTGACACTTCTTTTTTGCTATATATGCTAGATCCTAGCAAATTAGCAAATATTTGTGTTGGAACAATGAAAGAAAATATTCATCAGCAGAAAGAAGTACATTATCAGAATACCTAATAAAGCACGGCACGTTTGAGCAGTATTCACTAAATTTAGTCCCTGGATAACGGATATCGAAAAATAAGAAAGTAACATACTCGGAAACCTATTTGTACTTGCTAATTGCAGTTTTGAAAAAGGATGCATTCACGATTGGATACAATCTTCGTTTCACTCAAAAGAATCGTATTATTGCACTACTATTGTTCAATCAAGCAAATCTTTTAACTAAATTAAGTAGAACAGCACCGCGATGGCAGAGTTGAGCTTGATGATACGAAGAAAAGAGTAATCATTCAAAACACTGAAATGCTTTTATATCGACTAAATTGGATTGCAGAGATGTTTGTCTGAATGGAGAAAGAAGTACTCAAATATCTGCTGAAGTTCGAGCGAACAGTCGCATTCATAGGCTAATAAAATACCTACAAACTGAAACCTAACATAGAGAAATCCTAATTGGAGAAGATATAATGACTTGCTATACGCCTTTCAACTTTTCAATGGTGTCTTCCTCAATGGAAGGGAAAAATTGAATTGCTTTTCAAATGGCACTGGAGATTGCGTTCACAAATGAGGTTCACATTTCCCTGGAGAAAAAAATCATCGGTGTGGTGAACCAATTCTCTGATTGACAGAAAATGCTTATATGAAGGCAATATGGACTACGAAGAAAGCAATAAAGGAATTGCATAATATGATGCTGAGGCGTCTGATGATCTACAGCCCACGTTTTTGCAGCGGGAGGTTTTTGTGCGTCTCCATCTTCAGCTGGCGTTGATTCCTTCTTGGAATGTTGGTAGCACATTCTGAGCATCTCTCAATGAAATGACCTTTATGAATTCATCGAATACAAAGACAGCACAGATATAATGATGGGTCTTTATACGTGATTTCATGATTGCTCTCCTGGAAGTAATTTGGAGTTCGAATGAATAATGTCAATCACAATAGTGAAANCAAAATTGCAACCTATCACTAAACAGACATCATAATTTCGAAGTGAGTGAGCATGATCACTTTCAAATCATCCAAATCAGTTTGTCGTTGTTTAGCTACTCCTCAAGCAGTGCTAGCTTCCTTGAATGCACCATATGAAAGGTATTAAAAAAAGCTCAACTCATGCTTCAGCTCGTCAATCTAGCATTACGTTTGCCACCTCATTATGGAGCACTTGTGAAATAGGCAATTGGGTATTTGAGAAATTGGGTATGCATAAAACATTCACATGCATATGCGAACAAGAACAGATGTAAACGAACGTGATGGATGGATATATGAAAGATAAACATTTGTTGGGAGTGAATAATGTGCATGATAAATCCATCTTCAGCAGCAAATGGCTTAGCATGCATGCACTCACTTCTCTTTCACGTCAAGCATTTTACATCATGCCTTTCTTCGCCTTCATACATTTCAAGCTATGTGCTATAGCAAGCTATTGAATAGATAGAGGCTGTTTCATCGATTTTTACATAACTGAAGAAAGACAAGCATCGGATATGCAAATCGAAATAGCTTCACTCATTATTAGTCAGTCTTGTTTGGTCATCCATGGCACCAAACGTTACAATGCTATATGAAAACAACTTTAATAGTTAATCCTTAGCTTGATAATATCCTTTGATTGGTAACATCCTTTGTTTAATCCTTTGCCTGATAATAAGCACTTGCTGCTCCGAAGAACACCTCGAAAATACCGAATACTTACGATTAGATAAACGAAAGTACAAATCTATAGGCTTCCATAAGATCGTTCGACTTTTCCACAAATGATTCACAGTACATTAATTAGAGACAAGCAAGTTGGATGATCATATGGATAGACTGAACTGATATATGAATGCTTACGGTAAAGTGCATTAGAGAAATGAAATTCCATCGGTTTGTTGTGAAAGGGAATCCGAGACTGGAGAAGAGATATTTGTTGGAGTGGAACGAAACGATGGAAAACATGAATTAATGATGACAACGTCCGAAAGTGAAAATGAGGTATCGTTGAAAGCAATCCAATTCAGTTCCTTTTCCCCAATGAATTTTCAATATGTTTGCTGAGCGCATTAACGACTAGGATTATAGTGAAAATGACGAGTGCGATCAAAACTTAACGCTTTCGTTAAGTATCTTACGGTTTCAGCTACCATTTATTCGACAATAAGCAACGAATAAGTTCGTCTCACACAACTGGACGACATCCTAGAAGATGAGAAACCACAGGAAGGAAGAACAAGACATTCATCAGTGAATTTGAAGTACGCACGTGATTCAAAAAGACATTCAATAAGAACATAATTTGAAGAATGCACGAAAATTTCCTCAAGCCAATCCATTGGATTCAGTGAAATCGCGATCTACCACATTAATGAGAATACTGACAAATTTGAAATGATTGCCCACTCATATCTAAGCCTTAGAAATTTGATCTCATGGACATCGAAAAAGCTAACGAGTCGACAGATGTGCGAAGGAAAATGAATGAACACTGATTTTTTTCCATTGAAGTGCTGCTTTCGGTCAAATTCATCGCGGATTTTTCAAACTGTCGGCTGAAAGGTAATCAGAAGGTAATTGAGTCCATCGGATTATTTTTAC